TTTTAATGTCTTTAGTTCTTTTGGTCAGCGTGTGTGTATTATCTGTGCACTCATGGTCCTCACCTGACTCTGCGATTGTTATTTTTCTGCATGGACTGGCATCAAACTACTAACATTTGGCACCTGTGAGATGTTGGCATCATGAGCAGGAAGCTTATAGTGGAAATAGATGTCAATTTGGTTTAAAAATAGATGAGTAACACCAACTTTATAGTGAAGTTATTAAAATGGAAATACGAAGAAAATAACTTTTGTTTCAAAATCTTTGTAACACTTCATGGCATTCCTTCCCATAAGCTTTGCTGTCTAGCCCTGTAGTCTATAAAGTTTCTCTTGTCTGCATTTTTCTTTTTGATTAAAAATTTATAATTTAATAAATACTAGAGTTTATCAAAAATAATTTGTCTCTGGTTTGCATCTGGAAGTGATGGAAACACTCTGATGCCTGTGGCTGAAGGTCACTAAAAGGTGAAGGCCTGAGTTGGCTGTATTCAGTTTAGCCGCCTGCTCAGATGTCCAATTCTTCAGAGAATTCTTAGTATCTATCTACGGTGTGTGTGGCATAATGGAAATGAACTTGAGCAGCCTATGAGGCTTAGTTTATCCTGGAAATTTTTCTTCCCAGTGTCCATTAGTGGTCTTACACTCTAGGTACATGATAGGCTTAGAATTAACACATATGAACTCACTTTATACATACTATTGCAGATCACTTTTATTGGCAAGTTTTTATATCTGGGTAAGGTAAGTTCTGGGTTAACACAGTAACCTAGATTTGTGAAAAGGCTATTTTCTTGAGACAGGGCCTAAAACTTGTGATCCTCTTGCTTCAGCCTCCCAAGTGCTGGGATTACAGGCATGTGTCACCACACCAAAGAAGGTCTGTTATTAAAGCAGGAGAATAATGTTGATAAAAGCAAATCCAAGTTATTTTTACTATCATTGTCACATATGAAATGTCACAATAGCAAAGACAGAATTTCACTGCTTTGAACTGTGTTGCAGTAGGTTAGGGAATTACACATTTTTTATTTTTTTATGTATTTAATACAGGGACTACAGTGTCTCACTACACAGACTGGACATAGTAATCCTCCTATTTTCAGCCTCCCAAGTGCTGGGATTACAGGTGTGTGCCACCACGCCTAGTCTCGTTTGCCATCTCAGTGCACCTCCGGCAGGGCCGTCACAACACATCGGGGCTTGAACCCTAGTCCCTGAGTCTGCCTAAGCAGGCACTTTAACCTGCTGAGCTGTTGTCCAGCCCTGAATTGCACATTTTTAAAGAAGTGAATTACTGGGATAATCATAAAAGCATGAATTATGCATTTATAGTAAAATTTTAAAAATTTGAGTTTTTCAGAAAAATAGATATCTGTTGTAAAGTGCTACCTTTTGCTGTAAGATGCTTGCTTCATGAATCTGAGCTTCAATCCTAAGACTATCAACGATGCCATTATTGGCAGGAATGTTAAGTGGTGAGCTTGTAATCAGTTAGTTGATGTTCCCCATCATGCCTATCACTAGTAGGTAATTTAAAACAAAAAAAATCTATATTTTTTGAAAAGATCAAGGCTGCAAATTTGAAGGGGGTAATGGGATGACTATCATGTGGAGCAGAAGAAAATGAGTAACCATGCATTTTCTTGTAGTATGATCCCATTCTTTAACTGAAAGGCTTAGTAGCTTATAAATTATTACCAGGTAATAAGGCTCATTAGTTTATAGATTATTACCAGGTAAAACAAAAATTCTGGGAAAAAGAAAAACAGTTTGCTATCTGTGGAAGCCTTTCCTTTTAAAAACTAATCTTTGGGGCTGAGGATGTAGTGACAGAGCACTTACAAAAAAAGAAACAAAACGTAAATGGCAATTCTTTGTTCACAGGCCAAAAAGCATTACTGCAATGGAAGAAGCGATAGAAATCCTCTTACACAAAAAGTGCTTATGTAGTATACGTTACTGAAATACTATTTTAAAAAAGTTGACTGGTGAATTCAGATACTAGATTACCAAAAGCAAGTCTGAGTACTAACAGTAGCTTTCAGATTAATTCTGTTAATTTCATTTAACTTTAATATACATTAATAATTAGAACTTTACTTACATCTACATTTTTAAAAAATCATTTATTAAATTTTCCTCTCCTAGCAATAGCCTGTAAATTTGCAGCTCCACCCCATACTGTTCCTAAAAGATCTCTTTCGTTCTGTAATGCCTCCTCTAAATATAGCTCTTTGCCTGAACAAACAGATTTTTTCAAAGCTCTGATGACTTCTGGTGGCCCATTAACAAACTGTGCCAGCCATGCTTGAGCCTCTTCTAGAGATTTTGTTTCCTCTGAAGACTGCAAGATCTCTTCAGTCATTCCTATACTTAAAGCTTTTTGGGGATCCAGTTTGAGGGCCCCACCTAACACTTTGAGAGCTTCTCTACTGCCTATGATTTCAACCAGCCGGCTGGCACCACCCCAGCTTGGAATTATTCCCATCTCCTTGTGGACAAATCTGATCTCACTGTCTGGAGTCATTAACCTGCAAAAGAAAAGAGGAAAAAGTTGTAACTACACATAGAGTATAATCATGAAGTACAACCTGTTTCTAGAAAATAATCATTGATCCTTTTAGGTGACACACAATACTAAAAAGTGAATGTTACAAAAAATGTTGCTGTTCTATCTAGACTTTAATTTACCACATGGTACTTAACACCTCTTTGGAAACAATTTCCTTTAAGAACCTAGTCTTCATATTTCTGAATTTCTAGATTTTTCTAATAAAGCAGTATTAGTTAATATCCCATAAAAATGCATAAGTGAAGATCCTCATAGTCCCTAGTACTTTGCCCGGTATCTTAGAGCAGCTATTTGCTGAGACCACAGGAAAAACCAAAATAAAATCCTTAGGCTCGCAACTTACTAGTTGGGAGAGAGGCCCTAAACAGGCTGTCAGTGGTGCACTGCTACAAAGGAAACAGCGGGACAAGGACTAACAAATGGGGTAGGTGTGCTGATGAGAAGGCCTCTGAGTATTTCTGCAGCTAGTAAGGGTGTGAGCAATGAATGAAACAAATCTGGGGAGACAGTGTTCCAGGAAGAAGAAACTCCAAGTGTAAAGGCCTGAAAGTAGAACTGTTCAGTATCTGGGGACCAGGCCAATGTCACTGGAACAGACAAGCAAGAAAAGCAATAGGAGATGAAATCAGAAGCAGACTTACAGGCCTCAGTACCAAATTCCAATTCTTTCCTAAGTTATTTAGAGGTCAAGCAAACCATGCCCATCTGCTATTTCATAAGGGTTGCTCTATGAAGCCTTCAGCATTTAACAGCACTTACCCCAGTTGTTGACGCTTTGTTAACTAACCAGAGCGGACAGGAGGTCTGCTAATGCTATTTCATAGCAGGGGAAATGAGGCTAAAGAAGTAGGTCATTCAAGGTCAAGTGGCCATGGCAGAGGCCGGACTTACACTCGGGCAGTTTGGCTTCAATGTACTTAGCTAGACAGTAGAAGCTGTGACACCAGAATGGTGGTAGTGGCCCGGATCAGACTGATGGCAGTGATACCCTAAGCAGGGGCTTATTTTCTTCTAAGCTGTGGAAATTTTATGGAGCAATTAAATAAGCAAGGTAGAATTAAAGAGTTTTAAAGTAAAATATTTCAGTTTACCAGTGAAATATTCGTGTATTAGCTGATGAAAGCTCTGCAGTACTAGGGAGTGCTGCCTATGAATTTGATTTATTGACTCATTTATTTACTGTTCAGTACTGGGGATTAAACCCCCAGGCATTCCCTACCACTAAGCTATAGCCCCAACCCTTTTTATATCTTAGCTCATGACAGGCTCTCGATTGCCCAGACCGGCCAGCCTGGGACAGTGTCTCCCTGTGTCGGCCTCCAGACTAGGGTTTACAAGCGTGAGCCAGGGAAGCAGCCGGAGGTTTATTTTTATTCTGTGCTTCAACAAGACGTGTTCACTGTGTTAACACCTAATTTAGGCTACATGTCCTGTCAGAACTTTAAATGTTTAACAAAAATTACCGCTTTCAAAAGTACTCATTACAAAAAAGACATCCGCTTGGCTTTCCATACTGTTAAGTATTCACCTGCAGGCAATTTACTTCTAGCACAAAGAACAAGCTCAGGTCTCTGGCCCTTTTCACAAGAGAAATCTCCAGCAGAGAATTCGCACCGAAAGCCTATTTATTAACCCACAGAGAAACTTTCTTTTCATAGATGTGACTTTCTACAAAGGAAAATATGTCGTGACCATTAACTATTGCTTCTAGCAGTAGCTATGAACAAGTCTCAATAAAAAAAGTTTAGGAAGCAAGTACAAATCTAGAGAGACTTTTACCCTAGCCCTAAATTGTGAGTACTGCCTTCTAACAAAATAGGAAACTCTTAAAACTAAGAAGGAACTGAAATAATGTCTGATAGCCTTAGAGACAGGATCAGTGTTAATAATAAGCCCAGCCAGTTCTATAAAGTTTTTCACAGAATAAAATGTCACTTCAAAATTCTGGAATTGTCACTCACTGGATAAGAGCTGTGCCTATAATAGAAAAGGATTATGTTAGGAATAAGTTCATTTAGAATCAGAGGATCAGAAAAACTGGACAGTGTCCTATACATATTATGTAGATGACCATAAATAACAAAAAATTACTGGGTCTGGGATATAGTTCAGTGGCCCAGCACCTGCCTGGTAAGCATGAGGTCATGAGTTCAGTTCCCAGAACAAAAAAATTTTGCTCAAATGTAAGTGCACATGTGTTTGCAATTCTTTGCTTCTAAAGAATCTTCATCATTTTTATACCATGTCCCCCAAACACCCTTTACTCTTTTCTATAAGAAAAATATGCCTTTGAATCCTATTCTAAAATAAAAAATTCTTGAGGTAATTTAAAAAGGGCTGTGATCAAACTGACAGCCATCCTTTACCATGTGCCTAGGATGTGCCTGTGTATTGATATAAATTTATATGCTAAATACATGTGATAAAAATTTACTGGGCTGGAGAGATGGCTCAGTGGTCTAAAGCACCTACTTAGAACAAGCTTGGCAAAGCATCAGGGACCGCGGTTCAAACCCCCAGCACCACATGCCAGCCAGTCCCGCCCCCTGGTGGGCTGAGCTGGCCACACACACACACCACACACACTCACTCTCTCTCTCTCTGTCTCTCTCTCTCTCTCTGTCTGTCTCTCAAATAAATAAAAAAAAAATTTAAAAAAAAAAAAATTTACTAGTGACAGACAAAAGGTCTTTAGCCAATAAGAGGAATACAGAACACCGAGAAGGGAACCTTTCATAGAACTCTATTATACTAAATAGGAAAATTTAAAAATAAAATATGAAATGTTGAAAAACGTAAAACATGACCGTGTTCACACATCCACCCACAAATAGAATGGCTTCATCTTACAGGACTGCGATCTGATTTGGAGCTCCCAGCATTCTGAAGACTGGGACAGACTCGCTTCATAAAACCATGCAATGCTTATTTTGACAAGTGAAAGGAGTATATGTTTTCAGACTTGTGCCCTTTACAATGTCCTCTGGCAGCCTGAGGAGAGAGGAGGGAATCGAGACTCGGGCCATGTTCCCAGGTGGATGGGACACTGTTTCAGCGAAGCCACCAAGCTGGGGACATGGGTGCTGGCTAGGTGCTGACATCTGCAGAGCCCACCTGCTTGGGGACCTGCTACTTTCTGATGGCTTAGCCTGACACTTCAACATTCATGAGTGTGTTCAAGGAGAACACTTTTAAAACGAACTTATCAAAGTTTACTATAGTAAATTTTTACTAAAAGATAAAAGTTTCAAAAATGACAGAAAAAGTTTCTAAAAATGTGGTTTGTCGAGGAAAGGTGCTTGAAATGTGATGAAGAATAGAGGCACATACGGAGCAGGGCGATGACATGGCTGTGCCGTGCTGTGAAGTGTGGGACCCAGGAGGCCACACACGTGGCCTGAGATCCGAGCGTGGCTCTTGGAGCACCCGTGTGCCACACCCTATGCTGTACAGCACGGGAAGAGGATGCATCCAAAAGGAGCACGGCTCAGCTACAGACCTTAGACCATTACCTGACATCTCCTGGCCTCAATTTGCTTGTGTATAAAAAAGATGAAATAAAGTACTCATGCTATGGAATTCCTGAGCACTAAATGAGTAAATATGTCACAGGTACTCAGCACAAACTCTACAGTTCCTTTGCAGATAATCTTGGAGAATGTATACTTAGAAAGAGAAAGCTACGTAAAATGGTCTTAACTGTAGTAGAACTGGAGTAATGAAGCTGTATACATTTTGTAGCTTGACACATTAAACTCCATGTGTCCTGTTTTATTACGGAGTTGCACTGACAGGCAGTACCGAGAACAGCAGTGTTTCTGCTAGAGAGGTGTAAGGCTGCAGTACAAAGCGATTTCTCGGACTACAGTCACTGGATTGCGCAAGTATTCAAAGTGAACTTGCTGTGAACACACCGAAACCCAGGCAGTGACCGGATGTGATCCATGGTGGCTGTACAGACAGAAATTTCCTGAGGAAGAAGAGGCAATGCTGGGTGCCAGTGAAGCCAAAGATTCCTAGCCAGTGTAAAAAAAAACCCCAAAAAACCAACAACAAAACACATGCTTGTTAAAGCCTCTGTGAATTTTTAAGGAAAACCACACGATATGAGCAACATAAGTATATTAAAATTTTAAAGCATTGATGGTGTAATTTTTTTTCTGTATTTTAGGGAAGGGTCTACAGGGTGTTCAGGGTCTCACTACTAGATCAGACTCGTAGTGATTCTCCTGCTTACAGCCTCCCAAGAGCTGGGATTACAGGTGCACGCCACCATGCCCAGTCTCATTTTCATTCTCAGTGCCCCCTGGGGGGTGGGGCCGGCACGGCAGGCCTGGGGATTGAAGCTGCTTGCAGGTACTTTAATCCGCTGAGCTATTTGGCTAGCTCTAATGGTATAAAATCAACTACTATAAATTAAATTGCATGATAACTGTAAATACACTTCAAGGCAACAAACCTCCAGTCCTTTGACATTGCATATTTATGAGCCAGAGACAGCAAAGCAGATGGTGCTGACATAAAATACAGAATAGGTGGTGATGGCGAACTGTTTAAAGACCCAGTGCCAAACTGCAACCCACAATCCACTGATTTATCACAAAGTGCCAACTCTGCAATTAAACCTGAACACTAAAGTTTTAGGTTAGGAAAACCATATCACTTTTTTCTTTAAACACACACACAAACAAATATGCCACAGGTTTGCCACCTCGGGTAAAGAAGGTTACGTAACGGGCAGCGTTCTAGTCACAAAGCATGCTCCGTGTCACGCCTGGCACTCGCATGCTCGCCTGCACGCTACCTCCTTTCCCTCATCCCTGCTTTTCTTTCTGCCGGCCACCATCTCACAAGGCAAATTACTGGAACTATCAGGCAAGAGCCCAAGGTGTCCCGATGGTCTCACCTGAATCCCTACCCTCACGCGTCACATCATGAGGCTCCCTACACTTTATGCCC